GTTTAGCTGTGGAAATGTACTTATATTTACTTCAAAAACCAAGAGGAAAGGAACCTTGATAAACACTCTGCTTTGTCCAAAAACAATGGAGTGTTTCCACTGGCAGAGAGCCCAGGTAGATGTGGGTGGGTCCAAGACCCTCTAAAGTAAATGTACCGCTGCCGGTACAGTCTTTCTGGTCAAAGTCAATGTTGAAGCAACAGGAAATGCATAAGGGTCTTTTTGGTTTGGGTGGGTTGGGTTTTTTTTTTTTCCTTTGCCTGTATCCCTGGCTATCCTGGTGACTGTAGTCCATGCTGGCCTCAAACTTAGAGATCTCCCTGTCCCTCTTTCCCAAATACTGGGATTGAAGATGTGTGCCACTATTGCCTAGCTTTAGTTTTATTTATTTATTTATTTTTATTTATTTATTTTTTTTTTTTGGTTTTTCGAGACAGGGTTTCTCTGTGTAGCCCTGGCTGTCCTGGAACTCACTGTAGACCAGGCTGGCCTTGAACTCAGAAATCTGCCTGTCTCTGCCTCTCAAGTGCTGGGATTAAAGGCATGCGCCACCACTGCCTGGCTTTAATTTTTATTATTTAAATTTATTATTAAATTTAAAAAGCTTATTTTTAGCTCAATGTAGTAGCATATGCCTTTCATCCTAGCACTGGGGAGGCAGATCTCAAGTTCGAAGCCAACCTGGTCTCTTGAGTCAATCACAGGACAGCCAGGGCTTGAAGCCTTGCCTGGAACTAAGGTTGAAGATCTGATCCCTCCCACTGTGATAGTTAATATTAACATGAAAAAGCCAGTAGCTGGCACATGCCTTTAATCCGAGTACTCGGGAGGCAGTGGCAGCCAGATCTCTTGAGTTCGAGGCCAGCCAGGGTTACACAGATAAATCCTGTCTTTGGAGAGAAAAATGAAAAAAACCAAAACAACAACAACAAAAAACCCCAACTTGATAGGCTTTACAACTAACTAGGAGACAAACCTCTCGGCATGCATTGGGGGTTTTTCTTGTTTAGGTTAACAAAGGACAACCTACCCTGACAGTCCAGAACCATCCTGGGCTTGGGTCCTAGGCTACATAAAAAGAAAACTACTTAGTTGAGCTTGTGCTTTATTATGCTCAACTTTCTGATTGGATACAATGTGCTCAACTGTCATGACTTCATCATAGACTAGACTACTCTCAAACTGAGCCAATTGCTTTTATCAAAGTCAATAGGAAACTCCGACATCTGCAATGCACAGGAAGGAATAGGAAATGCCCTACAAAGGTAACCTTTCTTGCACTAAGCACAAGGTGAAATAGTAACTGGTGGGATGAATAAAAGGATGGCCTCAAGACCAGTAATCTCAACTAACCCAGTCCCCTGAGATATTTCAGACACTGAGCCACCAACTAGGTGGCATACACCAGCTGACCAGCAGTGGACTGTGGGTTTGGCCTCTGAGAGAAGACAGGCCTAACCCTTGAGAGACTTGAGGCCCTGAGAGTAGGGAGCCCTGGCCTGGTGGGTGTGGGTGGGGAAATCCTATTGGAGATAGAGGTGGGGGGATGAGGAAATGTGGGAGGGCAGATCGGGAGGGGGGGTAACAATTGGACTGTAAAAAAATAAAAAATACGTTTAAAAAAAATGGCCCTATAGACTCATATGTTTAAATACTTGGTCCCCAGTTGGTGGAACTGTGGGAAGGATTAGGAGCTCTGGTCTTTTTGGAAACAGCATGCCACTGGGGATGTGCTTTGAGGTTTCAAAAGCCACATGCAGTGTCCATGTCATTTGATGTCTCCTGCCCTGTTTCTGGATCTGTTATTGTAAGCCCAATTAAATGTTTTATTTGTAAACTGCCTTGGTTGTGGGATTTTTATCACAAGAGAAACATATCCATTTTACACACAAATGTTGGCTACTTTCATAATCAGGATTCTGTCTCAAAAATATTTAAAACATCTGAGAAAATTTGGTGTATTAGACTTGCATTTTTATTGTTTGAGACCAGTCTCACTATGCAGCTTAGCTGGCCTGGAACTTATTTGGAGACTCATTGAGATCCCCCTGCCTCTGTCTGCTTGACTGCTGAGATTAAAGGCATGTGCTACCACGCCTGGCTTAGACTTGCAACTTAATTTTATGATTAGACTCTTTCTTTTTTAAGTCAGTGTCTTATATGTAGCCCTCATTGGTCTAGAACTTCCAAGTGCTCATTAGAATTCCTTTTATTGGCAGAATGGCAAGCCCTGCACCTGATCCCCTCGGCTGCATAAACCAGATGTGGCTCAGGACTGTAATCCCTGCACTGAGGCAACGGCAGGGTGACCAGGAGTTAAAGGTCATCCTAAAATACATAGTGAGTTCCAGGTTATATGTAGGTATAACCTGGGATATAAAGAAGCTGCCTTAAAACAAAAATATAAAAACTTGTGTTAGATTCACTTTATATTTACTGAATGCTTATGACACAAGCAGCCCTCACACATGATAACGAGGGCATTTCCAAAGCATTATCCAGACTCCTAAAAGGAAAACTCAATTAAGAACAGTTTTGCCAGGCAGTGGTGGCGCACGCCTTTAATCCCAGCACTTGGGAGGCAGAGGCAGGTGGATTTCTGAGTTTGAGGCCAGCCTGGTCTACAGAGTGAGTTCCAGGACAGTCAGGGCTACACAGAAAAATCCTGTCTTGAAAAAACAAAAAAACAAAACAACAACAACAAAGACCCAGAGTTTTGCAATACAGTAAGACTGGAACAAGATGTGTATACACAACACATCATCTTTCCAAGATTCCTCTATCCTGAGCCATACTTTTCTTTTTGGAACAATTTCACGCATGTACTTACAATAACAGATCTGGAAACAGGGCAGGAGACTTCGTATACAGTGGACACTACATGTGGCTTTTGAAACCTCAAAGTACATCCCTTCTCATTCCCATGAAATCTTCTATACAAGTTGTTCTGGGTGTTTGTTTGTTTGTTTGTTTTGTTGACCCAGAGTTTAAAGTTGCTTGTATAAGCATGACTTGAGTTTTTATTTTTTTTATTGGATCATGAGCAATGTACCAATGAGCACACAGTAGAAAAAAAAAATGACACCCTCCCTTTCTCCCTCCCTCAGCAAGCATTAATTGCCAACAGTCTGTTAGGAAGGGGCAGGCTCTCAGGACCTGCCCCCCCCCCCCCAATCTGTGACGGAATGTGGATGTCCTCCACCTTGTGCAGCTGTGAGGTTCCTGAGTGCAGAGACCATGTCTTGTCCAGATGTTCCTTCAGCACTCCTATCTCCTAGTTCAGTCTTTCCACTCTTTCTCACAAAATGTCCCCTGAACCCTTAGGGGGTAATGTAGAGGTCCCATTTAGGACAGAACACTTGAGTCACTCTCAGAACTCTAAAGTTATAAATCTCTGCATTAACTACCACTCATGGCACAACGAAGATACTCTGATGAAAAGTGGCACAAATCCACAAGTAAATATAACTCGGTAGAAGGCGCTTTGACAACATGCCTATTTAGCAAAATAGAGTAAGGATGTAGTATCAGTAATATGCTCCCCCCAAGGCAGGGGTGATGGCTCAAAGGATAAAGTGCTGGCTGTACATGCATGAGGACCAGTGTATTTTGGATCTCTAGCATCCATGTAGAAAGTCAGACAGAGATGGCAATGTCTGGAATCCCAGCACTTGAGAGGCAGAGAAGGTATCCCAGGGCATCCCTTATAGCTCGACTAGTCAGAATCAGTGCACTCCAGGTCCAGCAAAAGATTGCTACAATAGCACGAAGAGCCATCAAGGAAGACCCTCAGTATCAACTACGGACCACCATATGCATACATGTACCTAAACACACAGACAACAGTGTGAGGTATGACAACTCACACTTACAATTTCAGCATTTGGGAAGCTAGCCAAGAGTCCCAATAATGAGAGCATCTCCTGTGCCACATAGTGAGTTCCAGGCCAGCCTGGGTTAATGATACCCCATTAACACTAAATCAAATACCAAAACCCAAATCAAATGCAAGGGACACAATTATATGTAGGTCACTTTGCTGTGGCCGTGTGTGCCTTACCTGGCAAGTGGGAAGATCCGGTTTCACTTGTTAAAAGCACAACTAAAGCCCATGTGAGCAGCCGAGCATGAGCTCCTCAAAACTATACAGCCGGTGCCCAAGAGGAGGAGACTAAGCAGAGACTATGGAACAAATTCACACAAGCACCAATTAAAGCTGAAAGGACCATCAAGTATGAAGAGGTGATTTGGTTGTAGAGTGAAAGGAATGGAGAGAATACTGCATAAAGAGTGAGTTTAGTTCAGATTTCTTTGTCTCTATGGAAGGTGTTTCCCTTGCTTTGGGAGCAAGTGCTGAGGATCAAATCGAGGACGAATATTGCACCCATGAAAGTATTTGTAAGACATGAAATTCTTTAGTACTATATTTCTGTTGTTACAGTTGCTGCAGCTGTCAACTTCACACACAACCTAGTCACCTGGGATGAGGGAGTATCAGTTGCCATCATCTGACTGGCCAAGGGGTATGTCTGTGAGACGTCCCGACTGCTAACTGATGTAGAAGGGCCACACTACTCTGCCATCCCTGAGCAGGTGGGTCTGCAGTGTATGAGAAGCTTCCTAAACAGGAGGTGGGGAACAAGCCAGGAAGCCCATTCTCCAGTCTCGGCTCTAGTTCCTGCCCTGGCTTCCCTGTGTGGTAAACAGTGGACTGTAAGTTGAAATAAATACATTCCTCACAAGTACTTTTGCTCATTAGTAACAGGGAAGCAAACTAGGCCATCAGTACAAATACACATTAAAACAATACAGAAAAGATTTAAATAACAGCCAGTGGTGGTGATGGTGGCGATGCTTTTAATCCCAGGCAGAGGCAGGAGGATTTCTATGAGTTCAAAGCCAGCCTAGACTATAGAGTGAGTGGGTAGCCAGGGATATTACACAGAGAGACCTTATCATGAAAACCCAAACAAAACCCAAAAAAATTTAAATAACCAAAGTCACAATACAAAAATAAACAATTTAACTTTATTAAGTCATGACTTCAGCCCTTACACTGATTTGTCTTTTTTTTTTTAAAAAAAATATCAGTTTAGAATATTATTGAAAGCGAATATGCACAATAAATAGAAAATGGCCTGTGCAGTGCTGGAGACATATTAACTACCTATCTGTTGCCTACAGCAGCAGACAAAATTCTGACAACACAATCAGCATTTGAAAGTGCAAAGCACCTGGGGGAAGTTTCAAATGTCTAGAAAAGTAGCTCAGAGCTCTGGACCACTCACCAAATAAAACAAAAAATGAAAAACAAAACAACAACACAAAAAAAAAACCCCACTCAGTATATCTGGGAAGCAACTTCCCAACAACACTGAATTATCTACTGCTACCCATAAGAACAATTTAAAATACCCAAAGTGCTAAGACTTCATTAGCAGTACTTTAAATCAAAGTTTTAATGTTAAATATATGATTACTCAAATACCCTAAGCCGTATGGCATGCCCAATAACAATAAGTTACAAATACTCTGAACCTAATAACTTAAACATGATATGGTAAATGTAACACACATTGTATCTCAGCTAACCTTTCATGTAAGGTGAGAATTAAAAGACTTGTTCATCTGTGTACTCAAATGAGGAATGTGGTATCCTGGCAACAGTGATGACATCCATTATTACAAAGGCAGAAGGAGCCTAGAAATGTACATGTTACACTTGATTGAAGAAATAATTCTATGTACAAGTGGGTCCATATTCAATGTGCAAATTTTCAATGGAGCAGGCTTAGAATCAAGGCAGGTTTAACAAATGCTTTCTGGCTTCTCAATGGATGGCGAAAGGACTACCTGAAAGTGAACAAACTAGCCAAGAGTAGGTGGAGGCAGCTCTTATTTTCCTCTTAGGTGTGGTGAACTTCATGAAGCATTAATTCCCGAGGAATGTTTGTCTCTGGACCATAGAGTTTACATGCTCTTCTTTCAAAGGCCGCTACCATTTGTTTCACGACTTCATCGAAGAACAATGTAGCGAGCTGAGAGTGCAGAAGGGAGCGGAATTCAAAAGAAATCTGTAACAAAGTGTTAAAAAAAATTGTTTTACACATTTGCTGGGCACACCTATAATCCTGGCACCCAAGGAGGCTGAGGCACAAGTACTGGGAATTTACAACTAGCCTAGTACACACAGTGAGTTCCAGGCCAGCCTGAGCTGTAAAACTAAACAAGGGCTGAGCAAAGCTGGGCATGGTGCTCAGGCCTCTAAGTCCAGTTACTTGGAGATCCAAGTTCAAGGCCTGCCTGAGCTAGAGTTTGAACATCTGGTGATGTAGCTCAGTGGTAAAGTGCCTGTCCAACACACACAAAACCCTGGGTCTAAGGACAGCAGGAAGTTGATATTGCCTGTGCATGTACATGCATGTCACCCACAAACCAAAGAGTTACAGCTTTATAATACCCTCTGTGGTTCTGGACTTCAAGGCACTTACTTTAAACAGTAGTATTGTAACTTAATATCCTCTAAATATTAAAATACTTTAACTTTCTTTGATGGACTGACTGACCGAAATGCTGACATCAAACCTAGAGCTTCCAGTGAGCCACACTCTTGAGTCCTAGACCTTTATTTTTTTTTAACTTTTTTTTTTTAGGTTTTTCGAGACAGAGTTTCTCTGTGTAGCCCTGGCTGTCCTGGAACTCACTCTGTAGACCAGGCTGGCCTCGAACTCAGAAATCCACCTGTCTCTGCCTCCCAAGAGCTGGGATTAAGCCACCACTGCCCGGCTTTTTTTTTTCCCCCTTGTTCTAGGACTTGATACTAGGACCTCTCACACACTGGACAAGCTCTCAAATTTTCTATTTTGAGATAGGGTCTCTCTAAGCTGTCTAGGCTAGGCTCAAAGTCAGTGAATTTCTTCTTGCCTTACCTTCCCCAGTAGTTGGGATTACAGGCCTACACCACTAGGCATGCCTTCTAGCTTTTTATTCTTAAATAATTTTGTTTGTTTGTTTGTTTGAGATAGGGTTTCACTGTGTTGCCTTGGCTGCTCTGGAATTCCCTTTGTGGAGCAGGCTAACTTCGAACACAGAAATCCACCTGCCTCTCTGCCTCTGCCTCCTGAGTGCTGGGATTCAAAGTGTGTGCCACCACACCTAAATTACTTTCTTGAAATGCTGAGAGGGCTCAGTAGGTAAAAACAGCTGCTGCTAAGCCAAATGACCTCAGTTTCAGCACGTAAGAAGGACATAATCGACTCCCTCAAGCTGTCCTCTGACCTTTGTACATGTAAAAAAATGAAAATGTAATAAAATAAAAAATCGCAGAAACAATATGAAGGATTTTCATGTACTCATCACCCCAAAATTTCCTATCTGTCTTATAACCATATAGCCATACAAATGTCAGAATCAGAAAATTATTAGTTACTAGGTAATAATGCTATAATATAAACTATCCAAATTGTTTGCATTTCCAATTGTCCTATTAATGTCAACTTTTAGAGTGAATCCAAGGTTTTATGTGTTATATTGTTTTGTTTTTCTGAGACAGGGTTTAACTGTACAGCTTTAGTTGGCTTCCAGCTTGTGATCCTTCTGCCTCAGCCGCAATACTGCAGAAATTACAGGCATGCCCTGGCTCTTAACTTTTTAATGAAAGGAATTCAAGAGCTGAAAAAAAGAATATTCCATTTACCCTAAATTACCAACATTTCTTAGGATTTAAGACCTGAATCACAAGTACAGAGAAAACTCATTTCCTCTTGGAAACCAGTTAGAAATGGCTTTGCATTTACAATAGCAAAAGTGATATGAGCAAGACAATTAGGAGTCTCTAGACTGTCTATCTATCTATTTATTTTTATGATATACAGTCTTACTACGCAATCTTGGCTGGCCTGGAACTCACTTGCTATGTAGACCAGGCTGGGTCTGAACTCATACAGATCGACTGGCTCTGCACTCAGTGTTGGCATTAAAGGCATGTGCCAGCACACCTGGCAGGAGTCTCTAAATTAAAAAACATGTTCTCCTTTCTTCAATATTATTTCTGCATATAATGTAAAATGTATAGATTTAATCTGATACTAATTTTAGATTTCTCTAATAAGTTTAAATGTCTTTAGTATTGAATAGTGAAATTATATATGTTTGGTTTTGCTTATTTTTCAATGTAACCACCTATCTTCATTTTATAGTTAAGAAAAATCTCTGTAGCTTTTGCTGCTGGCAGAAAGCTCAAAGCATGAGAGGGTCTGAAACACTCATAAAGATGTAAGAACACACTGTGTAGTTAATGGCTTTTCCCCTTGTGAATCCATACTGCCTCAGTGTGTTAAAAATAAAAAATATACGTTGAGTCACTAATTAGGCCATCCAGAAAAACATGACTATGACTTCCTGCTTTAAAAATAACTACTGGGAACTTAGTAAGACTTAGCAACAATGGCCAGTCCTTTCAATGATGACGCAAATTCCCCCTACTTTACAAATACATTAGCACTGCAGATACACCCCTAAAGTGGGGCACTTGCATTAGGCTCCAAGATTAACAGTGAAAGGGGGCCTAAAATTCCATGTGCTCTCTATATGCATTGCATTGGTAATAGCTACTTTAGTTCCATACTAACAAAATATGTTAGAATCATGGTATGAAAACATTGGTGCAACTTTGATAAAGAAAAGCATCTTGCCGGGTGGTGGTGGTACACTCCTTTAATCCCAGCACTTGGGAGGCAGAGGCAGGCAGATTTCTGAGTTCGAGGCCAGCCTAGTCTACAGAGTGAGTTCCAGGACAGCCAGGGCTACACAGAGAAACCCTATCTTGAAACAACAACAACAACAACAAAGAAAGAGAGAAGGAAAGATTAAGCCCAGAGCCTAGGCATCCAAAACAGACACTCCCCACTGAGCTACACCCACAGTCCTGGCATATGTTTTATAAAGAAGGGATTTGTAAAATGGAGAAGCCGCAGAAGGAGTGAACAGTATTGCAGAAAGAAGTGTTTGGGGCTGACTATGTAGGTGATAAAGTACTGACCTAGCAGGTAGCCCTATTTGATCCCTACCACCACGTAAAAACAACCAGGCATTGTGGTGCATGCCCGTAATCCAAACACTCTTGTAATGCACGTAGGTGGATCTTAGACGTCCAAGGGCAGCCTCAGCTACATACTAAATTCGAGGCCAGCCTAGGCTACATGAGGCCTTGTCTCAAAAAACAAAAAACAGACAAACAAATCAAAACACACAAAAACAATTAAATGACATGTTCATTAAGTAACGGTGTAGAAAACAGTATTCAATACTCAAAAATTTTAGATGTTTTTAAATTGTAAACTCTCTATGCAGGAGAAAATTTCAGCTTCTGGGTTTTAAAAGTGTATTATTAAGCTAGGTGTGGTGGTACAACACTTTACCTAATACTTAGGAGGCAGAGACAAATGAATCTCTGAGTTCAAGGCCAGCCTGGTTTACAGTGAGTTCTAGGACAGACAAAGCTACATAGTGAGACATTGTCTGGAAAAATAAAATAAAAATAAAACCAAAAATAACCCTCAAACCAAAATGGGCATTATTAGCTGTGTGGTCTGTATCTGCTATAATCCTAGCACTTTGGAGATTAAAGGATGATAGGTTGAGGCCAGCCCAAGCTACACAGTAAACTGCAGTCTAGCCCAGGCTACAAGCAAAACCCTGCCTCAAAAAATGTATAAACCAGGGCTGGCAAGATGGCTCAGTGGCACTTAGCACCAAGAACGCATATGATAGAAAGACAGAACAGACCCTTGACCTCTACCCATGTGCTATGGCACACACACATAAACAAGAACTTTACAATAGACTTACTGAAAAATCCAAGGTACAAGTTCTTGGATAGCCAGGAAGACCTGGGCTAAAACGCCAAATAGTCTCCAAATGATTGAAAAGTTTCCCATCAGTACAAGATGCCTAGAACAAAATGGAAAGAAAAAAACACGTTAAATGATATGATGTGAGCAAGAATCTACTATGAATCAGCTCTGAATACAAGTGAGAAGGATGCCTAGGAGCCACCAGACTGTCAACTGCTCTCCTGCGTGTGTTCACCTGCTGTGCTACTTAGTATATGGGGATGGAATTACTCATGTGTGTTGACAGCAGGTGTCTTTCTCAATTGTTGTCCATCTTTTTGAGAGAGGGTCTCTGTGATGTAGAACCACATTAGAGATAAATCTCTGGGCATATCTGTAAAGGATTATTTAGAGTAGGTTAATAGGGCAGCATGACTCCCAGAACTGGAATCCTGGACTTAATAAAAAGGAGAAACTGACACACCACATTCATTGCTCCCTGATTCTTGACTGTAGAGGCAATATAGCCAGTGAACCTAAGCTTCTGCAGTTATGACTTCACCAGGTGCCATGTTTTCTCTACCCTTATGAAAGGGTTCACTCGAACTGTAAGACATAAAGCCTTCCTCCTTTACACTGATTCAGGTCAGCTGTTTGGCCACAGCAACATGAAACTAAAACAGTCTCTCACTGAACCTGGGATTCATCAATCTGGCTATGCCGGCTGACAAATGAGCTTGAGAGATCCCTGTCTCTGCCCCCCAGTCCTAGGGTTCCTGCCCATGCCACCATTCCCAGTTATTTCAGTGAATGCTGGAGATCCGAACTCCGGTCCTTACACTTGCAAAGTAAGTACTTTATCACCTGAGCAATCCCCCAACCCTGGGAGTGATTTTTTAAAAACCACAATTCCTGTTCTGCTACTTATAGGTGCTCCTGAACAAGTTAAAGTACTATACCACATATCCGTAACAACATATACTGTTGTATACCATCACTCTGAAATGGCTGACTTGTTCATAAAATGTCTACTCCACATCTCACTGTTTTCCTGCCTGCATGTCTGTCCACCACACGCATGCCTGGTACCCAGAGAGGTCAGAAGGGGGCATCAGATCCCCAGGAACTGGAATTATAGATGGCTGTGAGCCAGCAGGTAAGTACTAGAAACGGGAAGCCACAAGTGTACTTAACCACTGGACCGTCTGTCCTGCCTGACTGTGTGTGAGAGGCTGTGTGAAATGGTGTGCATCCTGTGCGCTCATTCAGGTGTCCACAAAGGCCAGAGAGAGAAGCAGACACCCGCAGACTTCACGCTTTCATTTCAGAGTTCTCTATATAGTTTTCCTAAAAGTCTGATTCTGATTCTTTGCTGTGATTAATCTTTCTGATTTTTTTTAAACACACATTAAAATAATAAAAGAAAACAAGAAAAATCAAAGAAAAAAGAAAAAAAGCAAAGGGGAAGGGAAATGATGGAATGTATGTCCACAGCACCTAAAAATAAAATCCTAAAGAATGAGTATTAGCCTACGAAATTCTGCTTGCCTTGAACTTGCACCTTTAATCCCAGCACCTAGGAAACAGAAGGTGAAGCTCTATGAGTTTGAGGCCAGCCCAAGGCTATACAGTGAAGTCCTCAAAAAAAAAAAAAAGAAAAAAAAAAAGAAAGAAAGAAAAAAGAAAAAAAGGGGCTGGGCGGTGGTGGCGCACACCTTTAATCCCAGCACTTGGGAGGCAGAGACAGGCGGATTTCTGAGTTCGAAGCCAGCCTGGTCTACAGAGTGAGCTCCAGGACAGCCAGGGCTATACAGAGAAACCCTGTCTCGAGAAAAAAAAGAAAGGAAGGAAAGGAAAGGAAAGGAAAGGAAAGGAAAGGAAA